TATTGTTAAAGAAATGCTAAAAAAATTGATTTCATGCAATCATTTTTGTATCACTTATTAATTTTTATTTACAAAAGAAAATTGATCGGATGAAATTTCTCCATTTATTTTTCGTTTTTTTTTTTTCAACCGATATGGTTATTTTTAGATTATAAAATTTAAAAAAAAATTATTCGTTAATATTTCATTTCATTTCATTTCTCACCTAATTGTTGCAATGAGACTGAATAATGAAAGAGTTAAATTCCATATGCATAATGGTAATCGAAGATTTCGAGCTTTTCGAGTTCGTTGATAACGTTGCAAAGCATGAATTATACAAATGTAAAAAGCAGCAATATAAACTGATTTACTCCAATGCTGTAATTTTGAATTAAAATTAATTAATTTAATTTTTTATGAAATGAAAAGAAATTTTGAAAAGTAAATGTAAGGAAATTTTTTTTTTCTCCTTCATAAATAAATATTTTTGAAAAAGGATATTTTGCAATTGAAAACTAAAAATAGACATTCATAGTTCGTTTTGATTTACTTCTGTTTAATTTTGATGCAAATTTTCATTTCCGTTCAATTTTCTTTAAAAAAAAAATAGAAAATAAAAAAAAGTGTTTTTTGACTGCATCGTAATTGCGAATATTAATTATTATGAGTGATTAAACTTAAACATAAACTTTTCTTTCTTTCTAATTTCCAAATAATTAAAATTGTTTTATACGATAAACGCAACTTTATTTTCTATCTCACCAATTACTATTAATTGACTCTTTCTCTTTCACTCTCTCTCTTCTAAATATTTTACTTACGAAATATGATCAAAACTGAACAAAAATGAAATAATTCTCTTATTTTCTATATCCAATTCTTTTTATTTGAAATAAATTTTCCATTCAGAATAAATTTAATTTTTATCTTATTAAATAACATTAACTGACGCTTTCAATTGAGAATTTCGGATTAAAATCTCAAAAGTAATGATGGCAATCGAAATTAGTGATTGCCATCACTACTTTTACATGAGAATTGTAAATAATTTTCAGAGCTTTTATTTGAATTTTATTATCCTCATCCATTCTTTGATTTATTTTAAATTTCAAACCTTTCAATCAACTCTTCTTGAAATATTTATTAACTTTGGAAAGAAAAAAATTGAAATTTATCGACTTTAAAAAGAATCAACAGTGGCATTTAAATATTTTTCATATCGATATTATTTCACATTTTCAACATACCTTCTTTCTTTTTTCCCACTTTTCTTCCATTCTTTCTTTCTCATGATAGTATGAGACAAAAATGGATAATTCATAAATGTATGAATATAAAATTCATACAAAATATGAAATTTTTAAAAAACACTTCATGTTTTTATCATATCATGATTAAAATACTCATATAAGCAGATCGAATTTACCATTTTATTCGAAAACTGAAATATAGCAGCAAAATTTGAAGATTATGATTTAATTAAAATTTCTTTCCCTTCTTTGTATTAACATTAATGATATTCCATGCTTATATCCATATAATCAAATACGTTTGCCTATAGCGGATATATAATTCCTGTCTATCATTAATTATTAATGATAATAATGAAATAATCATTGGTGACAATTGATAATTTGATAACAATCATGCTAATAATAATGTTAACCAAATATAATTAAATAAATTACTTTTTTTTAAAATTCATACAAATGACACCAAATTAAAATGTTAAATAATACTTGCTTATTGCTAACTTTGCTTTTCTTCTCTCATTTAATAGTATGAAATGAAATGACGATAAGACTTCTCTCTTTGATGTTTTACTAATTATCTATAAAGTTGAATATATTATGAAGTATTTATGAATATATCATAAATACTTCATATGCAATATTTTCAACAATTCTCTTAGTTTATCAAAAGAGGATTTAATTAATACACCAAAACTTTTATAAATTTACGGAGAGAGAGAGGGAGGAGGAAAGGGGAGAAAGAAAAAGAGAGAGAGAGAGAGGGAAGGTAATGAATAGACGAATATATGATTAAATATTATTTTGAACGAGTGAAAATATTGATAGATACTATCGCATTATTTCCTGAACAAATGAAAACTTTTTAATTTAATTGAAGACACACACATACACACACACACACACACACACACACA